CCTTTTTAATTAGCCAACTATTTAGAATTTGTGAACACAGAACTGAGAATGAACAACTAACATTTTCTAAACAAATGACTTAAGGAAGACTGTAGGTAAGGCCAGAAGAGGTTAGGAAAGCCCCCAAACTGGTATAGGATGGATTAAGATACACTGTGAGTCTTTTAAAGAAAGCATTTCCAACCTGCATGAGAGACATGAAACAGCACTCAGGCATCCTTCAAGAACTCAAGCATGTTTGTGTTTGACTGTAACACCCTTCCATTAACTTCCTTTGTCACTTAGAGGTACACCACTGCTTGTTTATTTATTAAGTTAAAACTTGACCTGTGAGAGAATGGAGGACAAAACAACCCCCCTAAAAGATGGCTTCAGGAAGTAATGAGTGGCAGGATAATATAGGTGGCTCAAGAACCTCTTGCCAGAGTGCTGTGGCAATAAGGCTGATAATTTGTAGCTCAAGGGAATTCAAAAGAAGTGAAGTAGTTGTTAGACAAACAAACTAAGCAGATTTCCACAGGCTTGGTACTCAAGGCCACAGATACTGTGGGGATGTTATGAATGCAATTTCCTAAGTGCCTTCTAAGTGGGGAGATATTGTATGCAGAGAGAGCATGCATGACCTTCAGGGTTGAAATGATTCCTGTAGATATGGAAGTATGACCTTAGTTAGATGGACAACATACCAATGAATTATTCACTCAATAGATAATTTTGGGTTCACAGAGGTTTGCCTAAATATAGTTAAATGGCTCCTTAGGGAAGAATTGAGAGAGTTAAAAATGCCAGAATACCAACTAGCTTAAGATAGAAGAGCCATAGCTGAAGTGAATGCCTACCAAAGAAGTGCAATCTGGGGTGGGGGCGGAATGAGAGATTGCTCTTTTCTGTCTCCAGTCTTTACACCAGGTCTCTGCCATATACAGAGGGAATAACAGGAACTGACATGAGAGCAAAGAGGATTTAGCACCCGTTCAAATATATCCGATATAGGTGGAGATGGTGCTCCACACCTTGGCAGAGTTAGGTGGTTCTCTATGAGTCTGAGGCCTGCCTGGCTTACAATAGAGAACCCAGACCTGTCGTGAGCTACCTAGCAAACTCTGTTTAAAGCAAGTCTTTGATACAAGGACCATTTGTTCTTCCTCTGTTCAAAAAGAGTTCATTTACCACCCCTCTACAGAAATGTATCTGTGTGGCCAGTTACCTGATAAAGCGATCATTTCTGGTGGAATGAATAAGTAAGACACAAAATACTAAGAATTGTCCAAATATGTGTTGGCATTCCTAGTTCTCTGGAAAGTAGTTTGCACATTATCCATGTCTAGTCTTTGCTCTCTGCCCCCTGGTGCTGTGTGGACATCTTTATTTCTGCAAAACCTCTGCACCTCTGCTATGATTGTACTCTAAGTCCACAAAGACAGTAAACATTTGTATATCCAACAGGGCACTTGGAGTCATGATCATTTCATGTGTCTTATGACTGAATACAGGAAAAGTAGTGCATACTCATTTTTTGTGGACCTGCTTCTGCTATCATATGGTAGTTATGATTCTGACAAAACTTGAGAATTCAGATAGTGCCACCTCCTATTTCCAAAGAGAATAAAGTTGGAAATGATCAGCTCCACAGTTCTTCAGAAGAACACAAGCTCTTCTGTTTATGAAATAGACATCCAGACGATGACAAATACCTATTTTCCTAACCTAATTCTTGGAGAAACCACAGCAGTCTACCCTATGCATGAATGGAATGGCACAGCTTTTGGCAAAAATCCTTTAGGGTGAGCAAACATAGGATTGCTTACATCAAATGATGTGTTTAGTGGACTAATATCAATAGAACAGCACCTTAGGATGGGATATTACACAGGTATTTTTGGTCTTACTGTAAAGGGACTGTATCCCACAAATTAGTTTTATGAACAGCACCATCAATGATGGAGTGTTATCTAATGTGAGACATCATGAAGCCTGTATACCCTAGGAAGAAGTGGTAGCTACAGTAGGATTAGAACACTCTGACCCTTGTTTTCTATTGTTGCTATTTGAAGGTGGAAAACACAATTGAATAACCGCATAAATCAAATAGATCTTGCCCTGCCACTGAAGTGTACCCTTGTTTCTATCAGTGTAGGAAGATGCAGATGGCTAGATTTTTCACCTGTTGTGTGTTGTGGGATTATTAAAAATTCTGAATTAGCCCTGAGACTACATACAATAATATACCATCTTGGCATGTACCCACTGTTTGCTCTACAGGCCGAATGTTCTGGTATGCAGGCCTGCACACACAGGGGTGAAGGCAGCAGAATGTGTACTATGCAGAGAGTGGTGACTGACTTTACACATTTCCCTACATGATTATATCAAAGAACATATTTATAGGTGAGGGAACCACACACACTATTTGGCTTGTACTTCCATCTCTATCCAGTCACATCATGCCCGCAAAATATGGTGCTTTCTTCTGAGGGTTCCATAAGAAAGTGTTCCACCGTGGTTTCTCTCCCTTACCTGTTGTTTTACTACTAGAGGTGCTTAGGGCTATACTTTGACATGATTTTCATTTCCAGGGGCAGAAGAATATGCAGCCAACCAACATGGTCATTTATGCAATCTTTTACAGAGCCAGAGAATTCAAATGTAGAAATTGGAAATCAAGGAGTGAAGGGCATAGGGGAAACAGACTTCAATATCTCTCATTTTATTACATGATCGTTTGTCATATTAAAGATAGAAAATTAAAAAGGGCATCTGTGTTTGAATTGCTTGAGAATAAATTCACTAGCAAAGGGATAACAATTTCCTAAAGAGGGAAAGGGTGTGTAAGAATTCAGAGAAAATTCAAGGAAAGAACACGCGTTTAGAACAATATCTCAGAGTGGTGGGCTGTGAGGCCACACCCAATCCTTACCTCTGTAGTTCTGATTGAAGCCCAGATGAAGCTAGTGAGGACTTCACTGTGCCCCTCCTGTCCAGGGCAAAGCTGCACATTCAGAGGTATGGCACTCACTAGGAAGATGGATGAGCTACTGACTGCCAAGTTACCTGCTTTTCAAATTAGGTCTGCCCTGCAAAGAAAACTGGCCAGGGTCTTATCCTTCCAGGACCTTGCTTCTAGAATTTCCTAAGACCTAAAGGGTTTGGGTGGTTGTTTTCTTTTCTTTGTCCTTATTCTAAGGCGGTCCAAGGGCAGAGTTAAAAAAATGATCAAGATTACCCAGCATTGACAAATTCAATATGCCTGTTTGAATTCTGCATAGGCTTTGCTACCAGAAGAACCCAAAGCCTGAGGTACATCACCACCTTATATAGGCAAGCAAGGCAAGTGCATGGGCACTTTTGTGTACACAGGTGCAGACTTGAAAATGTGGTTGATTTCACAAATCAAGGGCTTCCTCTTAATCCCCTGAGCTAGCGGTGGCCACACACAATAGTCAGGCCCTTACCTCTTTGGAAACAGCTCAGTTGTCATTGAACTCCAAACGTGTTCTGGAGTATGAATCCTGTTTCCCTGCACATTGTTTCTTTACTGGAACTTTCTGGAGTGGATGGATGAGGATAAATCTGCTTGGTATTTCTCATTTTTCTTGCAGCTCTTTAAGTTTTTTTTTTTTTTTCCATTTTTCCTCCCAGCTAAGAGGGCCTAAGCATTTCTCACGGAACCAATTCAGACTTTTATTTGAATTCTGTTTATGCTGCCACAATGCACACATGTGTGTATCTTTTTCTTCAGTATAGCAATACTAGGAATAACCTAGCTAACATGTTCTTGAAAAGTACAGAAGGGAGTTACAGGAGCCACTACTTCCTCAAAGCTTTTGTGAAGCCTCCTGGGTTCAGGGTTCTGTATCCATGCCTCAAGACAGATCAGCAAGAGATACACAAAGTAACTACTCACTGCCTCATCATTCTATGTGGGAAAGTGCTTAGACTCTATGGAAATGAAGATGAATTGAGTAAGGGAATACTTATGTTGCCCACATTAAACTAACACAGCTGTCTCTGGTTGCCTGTAAAATGTCACCAAAACAAATAGACCAGAAGGGTCTCCCTCTGCCGTGGGTCCCTCAGCTGGGTGTTCTTATAACGTAAGACCTTCAACTAGTCTCTTTGTTCTTACAGGTGTTATGAAGGGCTCCCATGCCAGGCAGACCTGTGGCCTCTCTCCTCTCAGCTCTCAAGGGAACCAAGTTTCCCCATGCCCTCATGGAGTCGGAGTCTTCCTGGTACTAACGTCTTAAATGGAAAAGGTTACAGACAGGACACATGACTGCAGTCTTGTCATAGTCTCACATTCACTTGGCTCATTGCTCTTTAATGAGTGTCTTAGGAAAGAATGTCCTGGATACTCTACAAATACCTACTTCAGCCACAATGCAAAACAAGACAAAATAAAATGGGAAATAAATTTTAAAAACAACAACAACAAAAATTGTCTCTAAGTCTGGCTAGATGATGTCTGCTTCAGAAGCATTTCTTTGTGGGAAAATGTAACCCAACATCCCTACCCTATCACAAGAGACCTAAAATAACAAAAATTGCTTTCTCTAGGTGGATTACTTTCCTTCATTTCCTCCTGCTCTATTGGGCTCCCCAATAGATTCTTTGCTTAAAGAATTATCTGACTCTGTCTTTCTGTTTCACAAACCCACCCTTTTTCCCCTCTCAAGCTATAATACCTAACAATATGGTATTGGGCAGAGTGTCAATGCAAATGCCCCAGAGCTCACGTCTAATGGAAGCTGGTAAGACCAAGTGCCTGAGAAACTGAAGAGTGAAGTTTAAAACTCAGCTACAAATATCAAATGTGCCTGTGTGCACACACGTCTGTTCCTTGTTTACAATAGTGAAGTCTGTGTGTCTGGTGGTCACGTTCACAATGATGCATATGTCCGTGGACTGCATTAGCCACAGCTACCTGATCTCCTGAGCTGGGGAACGGAGATCAATGCTATTGGTGGATTTGGGTGTGTTTTGGAAAATTTAGGGTGAAAGAGATAAAGAGGATACCTAAACTAAAAGACAGGAAAGAGAAGAGAAAAAGAGAGGGAAAACCCCACAAAAAAAAAAAAAAAAAAAAAAAAAAAAAAGGAGGAACAAATGACCCTGTGGCATCTCAGATGAAATATTCACGTTTGCACTCGCTGGCTGTGTTTTGCAAGTCAATGTCATTTCTAAAGGAACTGTCCAAGTTCTCTGGGTATTCCTTCTCCTTCATCTGATTGGTGCGGTGTGACTGTTTATGTTGATAGAGGAAGCGGGTCATGATGCCAATGACACAAAAGGTGATAAATGTCACCACGGCTATGACACCTGTAGGACAAAGAGGGCAAAGAGAAGAAAGTTGTCACTGAGAAAATTCAGTCTACACAAGAACATGCTTTGGAGGGAGGGAAAAAGCAATAAAGCAAAAATACAAACACAAATGTGCTCTGTATTCAGAAATAAAGGCCTGCACTGAAGTCCTTAACCTTCAGTGTCAACCAAACTTCTGAAAGCAGAATAATAAGGGAGAAAGGCTCTTTCTCTGAGAAGGCTGTGCTGACCGCCTAAGAATAACCATTGGAGTTAGAACAAGAGAGGATTTGTGTGGTTTCTGAGTTGTTTAGTTTTGTTGCTAGGGATCAAAACCAGACTTGACAGATTTTAAATACACCAATCCTTGCCAAGAATTCCTTGATCTAAATGCCACCTCCACAACCGTGTGTGTGTGTGGGGGGGGGAGGATGATTGTGTATGTGTGTGTGTTTGAATGTATATATAGGTGATGTCAAAGAACAACTTAGGAGTCTATGTTTGCCTCCCACTTTGTTTTGATGCAAGATCTCTCTTTCTGTCTCTTCCATTTCTCCATCCTGTGATACATAGTGATACCCTATTTCAAAACAAATAAATGAAGAAACTACGTAACAAGCAGCATGCATATGAAATTAGTAATTAATACCAACAAAACAATTACATTTTGGTCATCCAAAATAATATAATTTCCAAAAACATACACATATTTCATATTCCTTAAGTTGTTATTGGTTATTGTTCACTATGTTTATGTGGATAGATACCAGAGAGTTAAATATATAGAACTATCTTCCACCAAAATTTTAAAAGTTGTGATAATTTAGACCACTTCTATTTGTCATATATTCTAAACTTATTGTATAACACATTTCCCAACTATTTCAGAACATGGCAAAATAAAATGCCGAAGTTGATAGTTTAGTTTGCCTGGCAATGAATGAATTTCAATCATGAACTATAGTTTTCCAATGTGGAAGAGGTTGGCTGTTTTCCACTGCTGGGTTGAAGGGGTTATTGTAGGCTGGAAGCTGGGCAAGCTGCCCAGGATCCCCTGTGGGGCTGTGATAACCTTCCCATTCCTAGAGTGACTCAATGGAGCTTGCCAATGAGTGGGGAGTGCCAGAACCCACAGTCATTTCTCACCGATGAAAACTTACAGAAGAGCAAGTGTTATAAAATTCTAGATGACATTTACTGATTTTTAAAGAAAAATCAAGGTCCTCCTACTCTGGGATGCTACCAGTAGGACTGGTAAAGTCCTACTGCTCTCATTTCTTGGAAGCAGCTTCTATGCGGTTATTGCTACCTGCTTGCCCATCTCCTTCCTAGCCATTCTGCTCAAACCAGGAAGGCACTAACTGGATCTTTCATCCTGAATCTCTGTGTTTAGTACAGGTTTGACCCAGAACTAGAGCTGATTAAATAGAGGTAAAATGGATGTTTCCTGCCGACTTTTAAAGAACTCCATATGGTGTGGATTCCTTCATTGAAGCTACCAGAAGGCAGGGGTGAGGCGCCTGCTATGGTTATATGTCACCAACGGGAATGGATTTCCACATCTCAGGCATCTTACATTAAACAATACTTGGGACACTTTCCATGTTGCAAGACCCACGAAGGGGGGGGGCGTACATTAAACTCCTCCAGGGCATTAGACATGAGACAGAGTAAAGAGTGTGATAGGGTGAAGCCAACACAGCTCAAAAACTGTAAAGCAAGGGAAGGTGGTGGCAAATGAGCTATAAGCAGAGCAGACAAAGTCTACATCCACATCCAGATGGGCTGCTGGATTTGGCATTTCAGCCACATGGGTTTCACCCTGCTCATTAGATCTAGCCCAACTCACTGTGTAAAGGAACCCCAAAAATGACTGCAGCCCCCTCCATCTGTCTGACCATTGTGACTTCTTTCCATATGTAACTTTATGGGTCTATTTTGTCAGGGCTTTAGAAGCGACAACTAGAAGCAGGCTGCCTGTCTGTCAGTAAATACTCCAGCTGTTGGCTCAGAATGCAGCTAGTTTTTAATGGGATTCCTTGGGTGACTTCTGGTAGTCAAGAGTGTAGGGGTGCTAGGCCTAGTTTGATTGCTAGGGAAATAAATATTCATGTGATAATTGTGTTGTCTGTCTGAGAGTTAATTACTCACATTCCTAAAAATTTGAAGTTTATTGTAATGGCTAGTAGAAAGATTATAGAAGCTGTGGCTTGTGTAATGCTGCCTGCTGCATCTGGGGCAGAATGAAGCCGTGGAGCTGAGGGCACAGGAGAAGAGTCAGTTATTAATCTTGCACCATGCATGAAGAAGATAAGGGCTGGACAGACAATACCTGATTCTGGGTGCTAGACAATCACAAAGGGAAGGCTTCAAACAATTTTCTGCAGAGCAAAGGATCATAGACACTGTTGGAAACCAGCAATCTGCTAACCCCGCCCCCTAACGATGGGCGGGACACACATGGCCATGCCATCACTATGTCACTTTTTAGTCACTCACTACGGGGCGCTGCTTTCAGTAATGAAGACAAGTTACCTCCAATGACGGCAGAGTCACTTCGGACTGCATTTGTGAGGGGTTCACGTTCATCTGTCTTTCCAAAGGGATCTAGACAGAAGAAAAATCCAAAACTTAAACTTCACTCTTGTCTCAAGCGCAGGGAGAGAAAACACAGCACAATGTACAACTGGGTGGTGTAACCCGATTCCTGCAGGGAAATAGGAGCCAGCATTTTGAAAGGGACCTAAGTAAAAGGCGTCTAAAATAAGGACCTACATTCAGTCCCAGAGTCCACATTCAAGCTGAATTCTGGGGCTCAGACCTGTACTCCCAGTGAGGGAGTAGTTGGTCACATATGCAGATCAGGTAGGGAAACAAGGAAGAGGTCCTCTAAAACAAGTTGAAAAAGAAACCTGACTCCCCAAACCTCGTTCTCTTATCTACACATGCTTCATGATACACGCATACACACACTTCACAAATATTTAAAGGTGAATAAAATGTCCTGGTTACAAGCCATAATTCATGTCTTCAGTAGCTTACAGTAAGCTGTGAGATGACCTTGAGGCTGTTAGTGTTGTACCTGGTGTGTGCACTTTCAGTCATCTGCTTGGTCATCTGCTTTACTGGAGAATTCCTAAGAATGACATCTGCACTTTGCTTCACCCTTTCCCCTGTGCCTCAGTGTGCCCTTGAACTGCATGAATACCTGAGTCTACTGACCAGGGTTCCAAAAGACGGGAAGAATTAGTTCCTCAGAGCAACCCTCATCGGAGGAGCAGCTGTCCAGGGTATACTCTTAATCTCTGAGCCATTGCTGTTGTCCAATTTATTTTTCTTTTAAGACAGCATCTCTTATATGCTGGACTTGGAAGGATGAGAGAGCAGAGATATAGGAAGACATGAAGTAAGGGAGAGAGGGAGAGAGGAAAGGAGGGATGGAGAAAACATGAGACAAAGAATGAGATAGCTAGAGACAGGGAGGAAGAGGATAAGTAAAGGGCCCTCAGAGGCCAGCATCTAGTAAATGTGGCTTTGGCAGGCTTTACCCGCTCCCACTTCCCTCTCCTTTGTAAACCATAGATTACATCCCTAAAGCTAGCCCTCAAGTTCTGTTACCTTATTTGGACATTTTCTTATGCCACACTCATTTCTGAAAATGAATACCAAAGTCCAGCAATCAAAAATCCCCCCTTTGGTTCATCTAATCAATATTCCCCATCAAAATATATCACTGCATCATAGCAAATTATAACACAGAACTCTTCTTTTTCCCATCTTAAGATGACCCCTGTAAGGTCATTTGCTGCTGTTTTTTCTTCGTGAGGCAGAAAGCAGCCACATCTTGCCACCATTTAATAAAGGATCTCTTGGTGAAAACAGGTGTTTAGATGTCTTTCATGTCTATGCAAGGTCTTCAGAGAGGAGAAAGACCCACACATGCCTCTCTTCAATAGAGAAGGAAATAAAGAGGGATAAAGAAGGAGTCGGGAAAGGTAAGATGGGAGTTTGGGTCATAGGGAGTCAAAATGAGACAGGGGGAAATGGAAGAGCTAGGAAGAGAGAGCAGCAGGAAAGTAAGGAAGCAGAGAGTCATGGAGGGAGCAAGGTGGGGGGGAAATGGCAAACATTTAGCTAGTCTACCTTCCATGCCCACAAGCTTCCTTACTCTGACATACCCCTAGGCCAAGCTTCCTTCCTGGAATTCCTCATGCTTCTCCATGAATACTCAAAATCTTAACTGTCTACAGTTCACATCTTTCCTTTTACTCAACAGATCATACTGGTTCCAATGTTATTTAGTCCATGCACTACTTTTAACATTATAAATAACATAGTTCTGATGTTAACCCAGATTTCTCCATTTCTAACATGTTTTGATGTTGATAGGTTAATACATATTAATTTGCTTCATTACTTCTAATTCTCTAGTGTTTACTAAAGCTACAGAGAAAACATTTCAGATCTGCCAAGATAACATTTTCAGTAGTATTGTGGATGATCAGGCTCTACAAAGTAACCCTTATTACAGTGATAACATATTTCAAGAGTGTCACCTTTGCATCGCTGATCAACACTGAATATTATATTTTAAAATCAATCTTATATATTTAATTCTTCCTCCTTCAAAACTAAATTACTTAGCCTAAATACATAAACACATCCTCAATTGTGAATCCACCCATCCTCCACCTGCCGTCTAAGATCTATCTACCTACAATTTATCTGTCCATCTATTTATCTGGCTACCATTTTTCTGTCAATGATTTGATAATATATGTGGATATATATTTGCATATCTATATTTGGTAAGGACTCCAATTTTAAAGTATAATATTAGACATTGCTTGACAACTAAGCCGAGGTGAGTTTCACCCAGAACTAAACATATTAGATTTCACCAGAAATATGTAATGGCACTTACACATTTCCTTTAAGAATGGTCTTCAGCCATCTGAGAGTGTCAATGAACAATTTGAGTCATATGATATCAGTCTATAGCTGAATACTGATATATTGGAATAAATGAAGTAAACTAATGAATTAAAACTTTTTTCTGAATTTTATGACTCTTTTGGAGACCTTGCTGGCCAGGGTGTGAAACAATTTTCTTGGAGTTGGTGCATTCTCCCTGCAAAGGAGTTTTTTAAGATTCAGAATTAAATGGAGGGTCATTAATACTCAGCAAGTAAACTCAGAAACTCCAGTAAGTCCCTGAAACTTAACAGGTTAGGTAGGGACCGCCTTTCCTAAGCTTATATAAGTAGTAAGGACTGATTATAGACACTCTCATATCAGTCAAGATGCTTGGGATGTTCTCAGACAGAGCAGCCTGAATGGGACAGGGATTAGCAAGACTGCCCGAAAGATGTACTCTTTTACCTGTTGAGCTGCAAAAACTTTTGGAGTGAGCTCCAGAGTTTCAGCCTATATGAACCATCATCCATGTTTGGAAAAGCTTTAGAGTAGAAGCTGTATTTGAATAATTCCTATTCCACTGAGTGACCTATCACCCATAGTCCAGTAAATGACCCTAGTAAGGCTCATCAGTTCTCTGAAGTAAGTACTTTTTTTTTTTTTTTCACATCTCACCAGGAATAGTGTCACACAGTGCTAGGCTAATTAATTCCTAGGGGCAGTAAATGCTTTATACATAGGCATGCCTTTCACACACACACACACAAACCTGCCAGTTCACAGTCTTCATCTTCATCTACCCTGCTTCCTAACTCATACTTCCCAAGTAAATGTGCCCTCCCTACCAAACACCACAGAGATCACTACGGGGCAGACAGAAGTAATCTCCATAGCACAAGTTTGCTCAAAGTTATGCAACAGATCCAGCCCTAAAGGGCTCAAGCTTCCCTGTCTTGATTCACTTCCTTCAAAGAGAGGATCTAATCAAGTCCCTATTCCCATTTCCCCCAGTTAATTTAGCTGTTGAATACCCTCCATGCCTCTTTATGTGGGTAAGATAAATACATAGCTAGATTGACTAATTGATTGACGGTGATGGCTGAATATATGATAGATGGGTGACACATGCTCATTAATAAGGACACACATACATACACACACACATTTCCCTTTTTCTGAGATCAGTAATGAATCATTTTTCTAACTTCTACCACTTGCCTTTTGGTAACAGCTATCCTGAGATTGATAAACATTCCATTGTCGCAGAAATTGTCATCCCTGATGATTGATGGTGTTGGTAATTTTCATGTTGTCATACTTCTCATGTAGTACTATTCTATTGGCCATTTTTATGTCACTTTGGAAAAATGTACATGTGGATGCTTCTTCTAATTTTAACAAGGTTATTTATTCTCTTCCTATTGAGTTAAATCAATTAATATGTATTGACTACCAAGAAATAGAGAGACCAGAAATCTTTGCTCATGGCGCACACATTTATTTTTCATTTTATTTATCATTTCATTTGCTGTACAGAGCCAGTTTTATTTAGATGCCACTGTACTCACTCATTAATTTTTGCTTTCACTATATGCATTTTACTCATATTAATACATCATTTTCAAAACTAATATCAAGGATATTTTTTCTATAGTTTTTTGAAAGTTTTAATGTTTCAAAACTTATAATCCAAGTAATGATTTCTAGGTCAAGTATTTTTTATAGAGTAAGACAATGATCCAATTGAATGATTTTCTTTTACTTAGCTAACCCCAGGGAATTTATGAAGACACTATCCTTTTCTCTAGTGCTTCCCAAACATGCCTATATTTACTTCTGGGTTCTCTAATCTTTGCCTTTGTCTTTATATCTGTTTCAATGACAGTAATATATAATTTTGATTATTATGCTTTTCAAATATAATGTGAAATTAGGGACTGTGATTACTATAGCTGTCTATAATCTGTGACCATTTTAGTGTTATTCACAATAACCAAGATGTAGAAGCAACTAAAGTATAAATAGATGGTTGTAAAGTGAAATTGTGCTTCTATAAACATAGATATATGTTCAAGTGTATACAAACACACATACACATACACACACATGACAACACATAAACACACTGGAATATTAGTTAATCACACAAAAATATGATCTCTTCATTTAAAAAGAATGTGGATGAAAACAATATCAGATCAAGTGGAATAAGTCAGCTATAATAAAGAAAAGTAATGTATGATTTCACTAATATTCAGAATCTAAAGAAAAAAGACATAAACAAAACTGAGAGCCAAACATAATGATACTTGACAGCAGCTTGGGCTTTGTTGGTTAAAGAATACAAATTTTATCATGAATAAACAAGATCAGAACATGAACAAATATGTTTTTATGATAAAACCTTTCATCAGACACATAAACACACAGTGTAACTAGGTAAAATGATTTGTTGCAGACTATGTATTTATGTATTTATTTATATATTTGTGTGGATGGTACACATGTGTTATTCCAGTGTAGAGGTGAGAGTTTTAATTCTGATGCTATTTTAATCTTTTTGATTGTCATGTTTTGAGACTACATCTTTGACTAAATCTGGAGGTCACTAATTCAGATAGGTTGGCCTGCCAGGAAGCTTCAGGTATCTTTTCTTTAGCCCAGCACTGTGTTACAAATGCTCACTGCCATACCTAGCTTTTTATCTGTTGCCTGGGGATTTAACTTTGGTCTTCCTGATTGGATAGCAAGCATTTTAGCCACTGAATCTTATTTCCAGCCCCCTTCCTACTAATTCAATAAAAAGCAATCATTGTATAACACATACACTTTATAACATTTTACATTTCATATGTCTGTAAGTTTGTTACTTCTTCCTCCAAAAATCTAGAGCATCATACTAAAGTTAGCATTATCTAAGTCACTATTCTGATGTTTTAATGCCCCTTAAAAACTTCAATCCTTATTTCAATTTCCACTTAAACAATAGTGACTAATGCACAGACATATTATGTATATGCACCTGATTCTACATGGAACTTCACATTAATTAAAACTGTCCATCCCTTAAACTATAATTATAGTAAAGGTATGTGTAGTCAATTTTAATTTTAACTTGTTAGTTACTGATTTTCAATCACCTAAATGGACAGTATCTATATATTGTTAAATTTCATACTTAAAATGTATTATTAATTAAAGTAATTAGTATTCTAATGTTCATACCCTTCTCTTTTTATTTTTATTCACCAGTTTGTGTGATGGTTATTGTTAGTAATCATTTTGACAGAATCTAAAATCACCTGAGATACAGACTTCTGGGTATATTTGTGGAATTATCTTGATTTCTTCACTGAGGTGAGTGCAACTACCCACTATAGCTGGCATCTCTCCCTCAGGGATCCTGGACTGTATAAATAGAGAATGACATGAATACTTCCATGTGTACATCATGTACCCTGATTATATGTGTGACATAATCAGATATGTGAAGCTCCTATCATCTCAGTTCCCGATTGTGATGGATTGAATGCTTGAACTGTGAAGCAGAATAAACCTTTATCCTATAATTTGCTTCCATCAGAGTGTATTGAGAATATAGATATGATAATTGAGAAGTCAAGTTACAATATGTAACCATTTATAATCATACAAGTAACAAGCTGAGTGCTGCTGGCCAACTCTTTATTTCTATAGGATAGCAGAAGTGTTGTTAGTGATAGAAACTCAAGAGAGCATCTTCTGGGAATTACCTGATGAAGAATGCACAGTGGTCACTGCATTCATATCAGAGTCCACCATGGAGCCACAGCTGGATTCTGTTAAGGTCCCCTGGACTGTCACGGGTGCGATGTTGGCATGGCGGAGAGCTGCTTTCAATGGTGCTATGTGGTTGTATTGAACTGAAGAAAGGCATCCAACAAAACCTAAGGTGTTTGCTCTAGCAAGTTCTGGATCCAACCCAAGAGTTTCTGCAAAAAAGTAAAAAAGAACCACAGATTTGAGGTTTTCAAAATGTTCTATGTATTTTCTTTGCCCATTAACAAAATTGACCGAAATTTCCTTGTTATTCTTTGCATAAGGAAAGTATGCATATATCCCTCTTCCTCATATGAACTGCACATTTACAGCAGGCATTAACTAAAATGATTGAAACTCCCTTGTTATTCTCTGAATAAGGAAACTATAGATATCTCTCTTGCACATCTCAGCTGCAGGATTCCACTGTATCTCATTAAAAGGGGTTATGACTATCTCTGCTTTGATACTTGTTTCAAGCTTCAAATTTTTCATCCATGTATTTATGAAATATAGAAAGGATAATCTAGCTGTATCATACTCTCATCAAATGCTAGATATTTCAAAGAATTTGGATCTCTCTCCTCATCACTTACTTACCTATGGTTGTAAGTGATTAACACAAGCAAATCACAACACTTATTACAACATTTGATTCACAATTCCAACAAGGGAGAAATAATAAAAAGGAAGCAAAAGGATTAGAAATGAACATGTATCTCCTAGAGATGCCCATGCTTGTTGTCTTCAGGCATCAGACTAGACTGTAGGAGTAAGCATCTCTACCTGCATCATTTCTCTTTATCGTACTGATTGGGAACTAATTGGGTAGATGGCTTTTTGCCTATGAACATATTCAAATTCCTAGGATATTTTTTAGTCTTTGTAAAAAGATGAAGATGCAATCATTTGAGATTCACAGCAAGATCAAATGTCTCATTTTCTTCAAGACATCTCATTCCTTTTCTTAAAGGGGATCATTTGAACAAATTGCTATGGTGCAATTACACAAAACTGCAATGCATAATGAACAGTATTTTTCTTAAGGTATAATAGTTTCGACATAACTAGATGGTTCAACTGGTTATTTTATTATGATAAGCCTTTTAGTTTCTGGAAGAGGGACAGGGATTTTCTTACCTACCAGCATACATTATAATTTTATTTTGATTCATAAATGGTCAAACAGTGTCTTCCTTGAACTCTAAGAATACATTATTCTGGGAGCATTAAGGAAAAGATGTGAGGACTTTTTGGTAGAAAATGAGATGTTAATAGTTCTTAGTAATTCTTGCCCTCCTATTTCTCCTCTAATTATTTTCTTTTAAGAAGATTTATTCTTATTCCCCTCCCTGTCTCTCTCTCCTGTGTGTGAGTGTGTGTGTATGTGTGCTTATTCATCTCCACCCAAGTGTATTTGTGTGTGTGTGTGTGTGTGTGTGCTTGTAGAGGACAAATGGGGGTGTCAGATGCCCCAAAGCAATAATTACCTTTGTGTATGCCAGCAACAAAACTAAGGTCCTCTACTCTTAACCATGGAGCCATCTCTCTAGCCCCCTTAACTTCTGTCTTCACCTTACTCTTTCCCTTCAATGTTCACCAAAAAAAGAGCTTGTCCCTTGTCTTTTCTTATATGCAAAACCAGTATTATTTCATGTGGCCAATATAATGCACTATCAACGGTTTAAATAGCCTAAATTGCTTAAAACACAGATTCATTATCTTTAACCTCTGTAGGTTGGAGGCCTGGCAGTGCTCATTGGGCTTAAAAGCATGTCCATATTTCTTCTGGATGTCCAGCTGCAGTCTTTGCTCCGACCCAGCCTCCTTTGCTTTTCTTCATGATAAGCAATGTTGCTGCATTCCTCTGTGCCTTTTTTCCCACACTTCCTTTATGATTCTGCTCTTTACTTCCTTATTTCACTCTTAAAGGCCCCACTAGATACAGTGGTTTCATCCAAATAACCGAAAAGAGTCTGGATTGAGGATCTGGCTCAGCCATTAAAGTGGTTGTCAAGTCAGGTATGTCGAACACATGGTGGTTATTGACTGGTAGTTCGTGGAACTAGCCACTGATGAGTAGTGTTTGATGGGCAGAATGATACAGAAGCAAAAAACTAGAGAAGGGAAGTATGAACTGGAATCACATCCTGGTACTGAAGAATTACAAAGTAGTGGAAAGCCATGTTTCATTGTACGAGGCCTTCAGAGTTAAGGAAAGAGTGCCACTTCTCATTCCAGGAGCTAACTGGAAGGAAGTCTGAATGAATCCAAGGAGGATATCCCTATAGAGATTGTCACAAATCAAAGGCCTTTGTACGGACATAGGCACATAGAGAAAATATGGATGAAATGCTAGAATGTGGCATTCTTTCCATAATGGAAGATGTGTGTGACATAAAGTGAGATCTCTGGGAATGTTTGTTGCACACACATTAAGATTGCAGATGATGAGAGATTTCTGAAAAGAATTACTGTGTAGACTCAGACTCTTGTTATAGGACTCAGTTGGTTAAAAGCACTTATCCTTGAGTATGATGACCTCATTCCATCTGAAAACCCCACAATGGAGAAAGAACACCAAACTTGTCTGTTGCACATGTGCATATACACACACACCAATAATAGAAAGTGAGCTTGTATAAAATAATAATAAAGACAACACGCTCTATTAGTGGGCTCAGGTAATTAGTTATCTGATATGGTAAAACAAAACAAAAATCCCATAAAGGAGAATTTAAAAGATTTTACCTCTCATCGTATTATAAACCTGTAAGTGGGGAATAATTAGTTCCTCCAAATCTTCAATATTTATCAACCATTAAGGAGCCACTATAAAATATGGGAGCATTTTTTTAACTTTTATTTCTTTTCTTTTCTTTTTTGTGTTTGTTTTTCAAGACAAGATTTCTCTGTATTGGTTTGTAACCTGTTCTAGAACACTCTTTGCAGACCAGGCTGGCCTCTATCTCACACAGATCCACCTGCCTCTTCCTGCAGTAGAATTGGGATAAAAGACTTCTGCCACCACCTCCTGGCTCTATTTCCATTTTGAATTCCATGTCTATGTGTGTTTGTACACACTCATGGGTACAGTGCCTACAGAAGCCAGAAGAGGGCATCCGATCCCCAAGAAGCTATGGTGGAAATAAATTTACATAAAATACATAAAAAAGGTCACAACATTAAGGAAAGCTCAATACATTGGACAAATATTTCACAAGTCACTGAACTTTGTATCCAAGACAGGATATATTTTATAATCAGCTTATCTGAGTGGTGAGGCTATCATTGAACTAGATGCCAAAGAAGTCAGACAAAGGCAACTGACAAAGTAGCTTCTCCCAGGCATGCAGTACAGATATCTAAATCTCACCACCGAATATACTAGTGTAATGCTCCGTTCTCAAGATTTCCTAATATACATGACTTCAGTTCAAGTGAGGAGAACCATGAAGTTTCTCTTCATAAAACGTGCTACCATTTGCAAAGGCGAGAATCTATAAAGAAAAACAAACAAACAAACAAACAAAAAAAAAAAAAAAAAACAAAAAGCATTTCTAACTTCCTTATTGGGAACTGGGAACAGACTTGAGTTGCACTCTGTGAACATACTTTCAAACAATAACAAATAACCGTGTCTACCCCTGCCCTGAAATGCTGACAGTGAAGCAATATGGGACACTGGGTAGACTTAAGCTGATGGATTTTGCTAGAATACCAAAGAACTTCTTCCGTATCTCTAAGGTTTGATTTTACCCTCTGCCAACCAATGGTCATCGTGTCTGCCACAAAAAGATTAGGAGAATAAAATAATACCTGTAAATCTTAGCTGAGTGTTCATAAATGCATTTTTGGTGGCTATAATTTTTTTGCTTACATGTTCTAATATGCATTTATGAAGCCCAACATGATGGAGTCACATGGCATGGAGTGGTCATTTTACATCTTAATTTTGGTTGGGAAGATAGCTATATAAATATGAATGTCTATTACATACACTTGAGAATTTGTATTTGAATTCCCATGGCTTACATGAAAGAAGCTGGATTTCAAAGCCTTTGCCTCTAACACCAGAATTTTAGGGTTAATGTTAGCAGATTCTGGAAGCTCCCTGGCCAGCCAGTGTAGAGTTTAAGACAAGCTTTCAATAAATGGAGAAATTGTCTCAAGGGAATGAGCTGAGGAGATATAATGGACCGTAGTTGATATTTTTCTCTTGCCTCCATATGAATGTTCAAGTATGTACACACATGTTATATATATACTTCATATATATATATATATATATATATATATATATATATATATATGTTCTTACCCCCCAGATATACATGAAAGTGTGAGTTATATATACAAACACACACACACACACGTGCACACATAAACACTTAGCTATTCATATATAGTGTGTTTATAGCTCACACTTTTGCCTTTATCTGGGAATAAGAACACTTAAAATACATTCTTACATTTTTTTGTTTTTCAAATGAATAGCACATTCTCTGTGTGGGCCTACTTATTCTTTTGTTTGTTTGAGACAGTTCAGATTATCTTGAAACATAATTCTCCTGTTCCAGTCTCTCAGGTTTTATAATGACAGGCTCTTGCCAACCCAACTGGCTCACAACATGATTCAATTATCTTTAGTCACCATAACATACAATAGAATTCTTGAAATTGCTCACCATCACTGAAATTTTGATTTTTTTTTTTTTGATTAACATCTAACCATACTAAATGCCTGTTCTTAATGGTGTAGTGTCAGACATGCTATTATCTTTATTGCTTCTATTGTTTGTCAGTTTCAAATTACTTTGCCTAAGTTTGATATCCCTTCAATATATCCAAGGAATATAATACCCAAGAATTGAAATGCAACATTTGCTATCCTTATTGGGAAATTTGAATAAACGTTAGTCAAACTTTGAATGACTCAGTTGATAATTTATGAAAGACTAACTTTTTCAGTCATTTTAAATATTTTATTGTTATATTTATGTGTGTGCGCGTGTGTGTGTGTGTGTTGAATTCATACTACCATGTTTGTGAAAGGTACTCACAGAGATCTAAGAGGACCCTTACATTTGTTTATGTGCCACCAACCATGAGTGATGGGAATTGAACTGGCTGTTCTATAGAAGAATAGAAAGTTCTCCTAACCACTGAGGTC